TTTTATTGCTATTGTTTATCAAAAAGATTTCGAAATCAGTTGGTTGTCTCTCTGAAGGAGCTGGTTGGATGTAAACATATGAATCAAGTACTTCCAAGTACTCAAAGAACTGGCACTCGTACTTAAATATATTTGTCGTTCGTGTATCATTTGTCTTGTTGTAATTTGTTCTTGTGTTGTCTGTTCGTAAAAACGTCTAAAATATCTACAAAAATTATGTTGAAAAATAACTGTTATAAACGAAAACATCGTATTTGCTAAAGAGATTGATATATTCAATCACATATTATGGAAATGTGTGCTATTTTTATAACAATTGTATGATGTGTTGAGTTCGAGTAATTGAGGCTGAGGGTAAAAAATTTAAAATAAGTCTTAGTTTTACAATTCAATCATATGTATTGATGTAAAACAATTATATAACACAATTGCTATAAATACAAAAATGTATTCGGTTAAATTTGTTGTAATGATAATTGGAATTAAATTAGCAGTTCATTTATTATAGTAAACAAACTATGAAAGTATTTTGTTGAATAATATGATTGGATAAACACTGCTTAGTGGATTACAAGACTTGTCAAAACATTCTACTTTAGCAAATAATTAAAATGAATTGTCAAATAATATAATTATTCATTTTTACATTCAATAGAGACTTGTCTGTGATCGATTAATATTAGGAGAAGGAAATTTAATTATCTGAGTCATATCTACGAATGTAGTTTTCAGATTCTTCTATCCATTACAAATAACATAACCAACAATTAATTAGGACTATGTTAATATTAATACTGGACCTTTTTTGAAAACATTCTCAGAGATATCTGGTTAAACAATAATCTGATCAAATATAATATTATATCAAAACATGTCACAAGTCCGACGCTTTTGCTTAGTGAAAATCGGAAAAAGCTAGCTATTATGCTATTCCCTTTTTAATTTTGACTCTCACAAAACATCAGAAAAAAAATATATATAGATGTTCTTATAATGGATTAAGATGTATTTCAGAAATAATTCGACCAGGCATACAAAATACGTCATTCTTTATTAATTACTGTTACTGATGGATGTCATCGTTTCGAGTTGAGAAAACAAAAATGATATGTGTTAGTTTCACAAGAAGAAAAAATCGCAGTGTTTTAATTACAAAATGAAAGAGGATCACTTCATGATACCTGTCAAAACTACATCTCGTTCAGATGCTTGATACAATACTTCTTCTGAGCAAAGTCGGATAGATTTTCTTACTCTACGCAGTCATTTATAGTCCGATTATTTAAAAGATGTGCTTCTATTCTCAGTAATCTTTAGTAGAAAAACGAGTGTAATCCATTCTCTTTTTTTATAAAATTAATTCAGTGGACTTCTAGTGAAAAGAAAAAGCTAATTCTCTTCCAACGACATGATATTTCTTATCTGATGACTATAATAAGAAAGAAAATGTTCTGAATGTAACATCTTCATTCATTAAATAAAAGTAGTTCCGAAGAACGCGACAATGTCATCGAACAACAACACTAGCATGACATTAACAATTCTTCAACTTCAAACTGGTTTTCAATATGCAACCCTTGTTTTAGGTTTTATTCTATTGATTGGTGGCATACTCGGAAATCTTCTCAATATTATTGTCTTCATTAAAGTTGGAAATTACAAGAACAATGGATGCTCTCTTTACATGTTTGTTCGTACTTTTCTTGATCTCAACATTCTCCTTGTTGGTCTAACCACTAGAATTCTTAGTACAGGCTTTCAAATGAATTTTACTTTAACAAATCGAATTTGGTGTAAAACGCGCATCGGCTTTGTCGATATTAATGCTCAGAGTACATGTACTTTTATTTGCTTACAAGCTATTGATATTTTCATGTGTTCCTCTCCATCAGTTGCTGTACGACAGAAGAGCAATATTCGAATAGCACGATATCTAATAATTGGTACTCTTTGCATTTGGTTTATTCATGAACTACCTTACTACTTCTTTCAAGATCTTGTTATTGTAAGAGGTACCCCAATGTGTATCGCAACAAATACAATTTATGCCAAGTATCGTAGCTATGTTGTCTCTCTTGGCATTGTCACTATTATTCCAATCACTGTTATTTCTATTTTTGGATTCCTCACTGTTCGACATATGAAAACTATTAGTGTAACAAGATCACTTTCTTCTCTTACAAAACAAACAATTAGTATGGCATTATCTCAAATATTTGCTGTATTAGTGTTTAATAGTCCATATGCAACTTGGCAAATATACACAGTCATTACAGCAAATGTAGTTAAAGATACCTATAGACAAACAGTGGAACAGTTAGTTATTTCATTTGCTGCTACTTATGGTTTTGCAATATATGCGGTAAATTGTATGCTTGTTACTTTCTTAACTGACATTTATTCTTCTCTTTTTTTTAGAGTTCTTTTTATTGCTATTGTTTATCAAAAAGATTTCGAAATCAGTTGATTGTTTCTCTGAAGGAGCTGGTTGGATGTAAAAATATGAATCAAGTATATCCAATTCCCCAACGAAGTGGTACTCGTACTTAAATATACTTGTTATTCGTGTATCATTTGTCTTGTTGTAATTTGTTGTAGTGTTGTCTGTTCGTAAAAAGGTCGAGAATATCTATAACAGTATGTTGAAAAATGACTGTGATAAATGAGAAGATTGTATTTACTGGAAAGATTGGCATATTCAGTCACATATAGTAGGAATTTGTACTTTTATTAAAACAATTGTATGATGTATTAAGTTCGAGTAATTGAGGTTGTGGGTAAGAAATTTAAAATAAGTCTTTGTGTTATCATTGAATCAGTGAAAGATCAGATGTATTGAAGTAAACAAATGATATAATACAACTGCTATAAATACAAAAATGTTTTTGTTTAAATTTGTTGTGATGGTAGCTGAAATTGAATTACAAGTTCATTTATTATAGAAAACAAACTATGAAATTATTTTGTTGAATATTATGATTGAATAAGCGGTAGAAATTGAGAGTAATTTATCGAAAAATGAAATTAGCTGCTTAGGTTAGACAAAAGACATTCATATCAAAAGAGCATATAATAATTATCTAAAATGTCTTTTCATGTACTCATTATGAAATGTTCACCCGTGCAAGTCATCATGAGAGAACATACATAAGATTACTGTTGGAATGACATTTTGTCAAATAATATAGTCTTTTCCGACGGAAGGTAATCATGAGAATATTTCTATGATCTTTACTAGACTAGATAATGGTATATTGACATATGGACATTTATCCTTGTACATAGATGCCATAAAATACTTCATTGTATTCTAACATTCATTTAAAATATAGAAGTCAAAAGTTTCTCAGTTATTCAATTAATCTTATTCTCTTCTTTCTCAACATGAATATTCTTGAGATTTCATCATCTGTATGGATGATTTTATGTAGTATTTGTGGTGTCACTTGTGCCATCGTCTTTATCGCTATTGTGGTTTTTCATCGTAAACTTCATACATCAAATATTATGCTTGCTTTCAATTCAGCAGTCGCTGTTCTGATTATTAATATAACTTGTGGTTGTCAAGCAATCTATCAAATAACAAGTGATGGAAATGATAGACTATGTTCATTTCGAGGTTTTCTACTTCACGCTGGATGTGGTCTTTTGTATCATACAATTTGTAATCAAGCATTGCATCGTCTCTTTGTCGTTGTCTTTGCAGCACGACGTTATTTTCAATCGAAACAAGTCATAGTGTCTATGACGATTTTTCAGTGGTTAATTTCGGCTACATTTGGCATACCAGCACTAGTACTTGGTCGGATTGTATATCAGCCTGGTAGGCGCATCGGCCAGGTAGGTTTCTATAATCATTCTTCATCGAAAATTTCAATAGAAATTTGAATATATCTTCTGTGTTATTAGTTGATGATCTCCTCAAATATATTTTTATCTTTAATTTAGGCATCAATAAATGATATAATCATCTTTCTGTATCTAGCAATGTTTATTTATTTCCTTCCACTTGCCATCATTATCCCAACTTATATTCGAATTGTACATTTCTCAAAACAACGCTCTTTTTCAACAAACATTTCTCATAACGTAGTTGACCAACGTCGACAACGTCGTGATCTTCGTTTTATTGGTTGCCTTTTTATTATCGTTTGTGTTGTATTACTCATGAGTTTTCCATATTTGATTTTCTTTCTTCGAGCTAATTTTTTTCCTAATGCAGAATCGTTACCCTATGCACAACGAGTCACTTATGTTTTGCTTTCATTCGGCTTTGGTATATGGATGTTACTGAACTTGATTTTTACAGATAAAATAAGGAAATATTTAACTATCAAAATGCAAGTTCTACTATCACGACCAAGATCTATTCGAGTGCAGCCTCATAATACGATCTATCAACAGCTTCAAACTACGACTGGTATACAGTAATAAAGAAATGATAGAACTATCTTACGAAATGGATACAATAACGACTTTTTATTCACTGTTCAGAATGCTTGATTTTGGTGTTGTTAATATTACAGAATGATAATGTATTTTCGTATTTTATAATTCCTCTTTTTTTTCTTTTTTCTAAAATAAAGACAATACGTCATATATCAACGAGCAAATTGTTATCTTTTCTTTTGTCTCTAAATAAAACGAAAAATACGACTACATGCTGTTAGTTTAGTATATTTGTTTTTGAATCAAAATCTTCTAAAGGATATATTACACTGAATGATCGATACAATGTAATTCTAAAAAGAAAAGAAAAAGAGATATATTTGACAAGCAAATATATCTGTACGAATGAAGATGTCTGACAAGTGTTATCAATTAGATATATTTAATTGGAAACCGATCTCAACAGTTCGGAGTTCTAAAGAGGGTTTCCAGTCGAAATGTTCTGTATCCGATAGCAGTTGCAAAATTCTTACTTAGCAAAATTCAGGATCTTTTAACTTATGTAAAATTCTGCTAAAGAAATAGAATTCATAGCATGATTTTATTTTCTCGTAATTGATGGACTGGTTGATAGAGCATAAGTATATAAAATTCTGAATTCTGCTGGGTAAGCATTTTGTAGACCATCAATTTATGATAAAATACACGTAGTTTATCGGATATCATAGAAGATATTACTTAATTTATTTTCCACTCTTTCTAAAAGATTTAATTACAAATTAGTTTCATTTGTTTAATATAATTTAGAAAAATATACTATTTACGTATGTGAATAAAAATGTTATAGTTGAGCTTAGTAATTATATCTAAATTAACTACATATTTGTGAAGATGAGAATCCTATATCTCTGCTTATTCGAAGAAAAACACACGCTATATATAGAATGGTAGATCACTCTGTTAGGAATATGTTCAACAGGAGATCAAAAGAATAGGATGAGGAAAAATTTCATAACATATAGCAACATATATGTGAACGACAGGAAAGAAAAAATCCATGAACGACTTGGAAGAGAATGAGAACACACATATGGAAGAAGATGATGAATCACACTATATATGATATATGTATATGTGACAACAAAACGAAACAAGATATACATATATGATATCAGAAAGAAATGAAGATAGGTAATGATACCACCTAACATATTCTTGAATGAAAAAGTAAATTAAATATGCTGATTAATGTCTAGCTACTTATGTTAACTTTATTAATAAGTGAATTTCAAGCGATGGTGTCAACATAATTGAAATTTTAAGTAAAATCGGTGTATTAAACGATCCTATATTTACAAAAAAAAATTATAATTGGAGGCCAGAATATATTTAGTTGTGTATAGTTCTATAATAACACATAGAGTTTTTTTTTCTTTTTAGTGATGACGACAATGTTCTGTTTGAATAATCAACTTTTTCTATTACTTACTAAGAGTTTTTACAAATGAAAATCTAAAATAAACTTTTTGAGAAAAAAAATATACGCTGAAACTATTTAATTATATCGATGAATAATATTTGTTTATTTTTGTTGATACTTCGACACTATGATCATGTACTTTCTACGAATGATATTTCTATTCATTATTTCTCAGATAATTATACACAGAAAAATGTGGTAATTTATAATTCATTTAAATCTTTCTATGAGTATATATTTTTAATCTGAATTTCGATCTAATATAATAGATTATCAATTCGTTGTTGAGGGATATTCTTTGATTTAAAATACATATTTCTTAGGTGTTGTATTTCTATCTTCCATTGTCTTTTTTTTTTATTTTTACAAGTGATAAACCAAGCATAATATAAGAGAAGAAAAAAGAATCGTCACCAACGTGATAGTATGCTACAGAGCAAACATATTTATTAGACATTCTCGAGAATATTAGTATATTACATTTTTCTTTCATCTTGTTCAAAAGAATCTTGGAAGAGGTAAGCTTTTCATAACTACGATAAAACGATTATTTATTTTAGTCACATTAACTAAGAGTAAGATCATCAAATACTGCGTTGCCTCGATCATCATCACTTCAGGATGATATATAAATATAGATCTTCACTTCTTTTTTTTTAAATATTTATTTAAAGAAATTTATGTGGTTCGTACATTATTTTTTATTTAGTTAAAATAATTATTAATCTTCACAGATTAGATAAAAATATCAGTAGTGTTATAAAAAAATGATGTAACGGACACTATTTTTGATGTATTTCATTTTCATTAATTAAGATACAAATTTCTTTGAAAATCATTAAATATAATTGGTTAAAAATTAAAATTACGGAATGATTTTGATACAAATTATTATTTCAATCATTGAAAATCAAAAATAATATCCGTTTCATCATATTTTTCATTTTATTGTATAAGTAATAATATGCAGATGTTTAGAAATATGATGTAAAAATGATTTATTTATTTTTAATCATATGTCAACATTTTATAACTAATTAAATAGAGAAAAAAAAATATTTCTCGAATCTTTTTTTTGAAAAATATTGATTAACAGATATTTTAAGATAAACATACAGAAGTTCAATCAAATATTAGTTATTGGATGAAAAATGATTATTCTGTCTCATATAAATAGGATAAACAATCTTTCTTGTTGCACAATTGGATTTTAGAATATGAAAATTGCTTAGAGAATAAAGTAGAACAAACAAACATATTCCTTTTTAATATTATTTAAAAATGTTTCAAAAGAAATCTATTAATAGAATGTCCTTTTAAATGCATTTTCTTTAACCGTTTGATGATAATAAAAAAGGACAATAAACTAGATTTTTTTTAAATTAAATAAAATAATTACAATATACTTTCAGGTAAAAAACAAATTCTTTCGTATTAACATATTGTTTATATTTATAAATACAATACAGATAAGATAAAACATAAGAATCAGCTTTTCAAAAAGTTCCTATTCATCACAATAATATTTTAAAATGATTCATCTCTTATGTCAGACTATAAAATTAATAATCTTTGAAAAATTTCGAAATTCTTTTTTTTAGTTCACTATAGAGACAAAAATATTTATAATAGAAAATTAAATTCATATATTTGTATTTTATTTAGTAGTGTTTGACTATTAAAGAAAAAAATATTATTATTTAAATCATGTCATTTTACAATCATTTGTATCGTATAAGATTTTATTTAAGCTCTAGAAATCTATTGAAGATTGTAAAAGTATTCTATTTAATAATTTTTTTTATTACATATTAACATTCATTGATATAAAAATAAATTTTATTTCAGATAAATAATATGAAACTATTTAACTTCTTCAATATTTGGTTATTATCGTTATTTATTGGGCAAACATCAGGTATGGATTTTGTTAAAATTGTTAATGTATTTAATGTAAAAATAAGATATTTAATTTTATGGAACAATTTTTCTTTCGAAATAAATATCTATGAGAGCATTATGAATAAATTGATTGAATGTAGAGTGTCTATCATTATGTTTAAAATCATTCTTATTATTTTATCTAGGTATTTCCTATAATCAACCTAAGCTTTGTGCAAATGCATCATGGAATTCCACTGCAATAACGTTTGCGACTAGCGCGACAGTTGGTGCATCTCCTGTTGGTATTTTTGTCAATTCAATTAATACCGTCTATGTCGCTGATCAGGTGGATAGTCGGATCCAAGTATGGCTGAACGGCAATACGACACCCACAAGAACTATATCCAGTGGTTTAGTCAAACCTTTTAGCCTTTTCGCCACAGACAATGGTGATATTTATGTCGACAATGCCTATTCAAATATGCGAGTAGACAAATGGGGATCAAATTCAAACAGTAGTGTTCCAGCGATGTATGTTTGCTCACAATGCACTGGTATTTTCGTCGATATCAATAATATGCTCTACTGTACAATGTATCCTTCTCATAAAATTGTCTCGCAATCATTGGATACAAGGTTAAATATATGGGCCATTGTCGCGGGTACAGGCACTGCTGGAGCAACATCGCTTACACTTAATAATCCTCGCTCGAGCTTTGTCGATAATAATCTAAACTTATATGTGGCTGATGGTGGCAATAATCAGATTCAAAAATTTGTATCAGGACAATTAAATGGAACAACAATATCAACAGGAACTATCACATTGAACTTACCAACTGCAGTTGTTCTTGATGCTGATGGATATCTCTTTATTGTTGATTCTAATAATCATCGTCTTATTGGCTCGGGACCTTACGGATTTCGATGTATAGCTGCATGTTCTGGACAAGGATCGCTATCGAATCAGTTAAATTTCCCAATACAGCTTAGTTTTGATAGTTATGGAAATATATTCGTAACTGATTTCAACAATTATAGAATTCAAAAATTTCTTCTGATTACAAATTCATGTAGTAAGTAAAAATTATTTGTATCAGATTCAACAATAGGCGGGTATGAGTATAAGTGAACGAGGGTTGATGTTCTCGTCATCGAAATTCATAACACACTTATACATGTCCTTATATTCAAATTCGAGAGAGAAAAATTTATCCTGTGTTTGTTTTTGAATAAAATTATTCTTTTTTAATTCAATTTTTCTTGTAGATGGAACGACAGCCGTTACAACTATGTCTACTGGTATTTTCTTATCGATTATACTTTATCAATAGTTTATGTTTTTTTTTAATAGTAGCATCAACCAATATTACTCAATCAGCTTCTCTTGTTACGAACTCGACAACTGCATCGTCTTCGACACGTATGTAATTTCTTTATCAGAATGTTTGAAAGTGACCTAGTGTAGACTGTGCTCTTCTTTTTACAAAAGAAGTGCTTAAAGCCTGGAAATTGGAATACCTCTTAAATTCTTCTATAGAAATAGATACGATACAGATAACCAGTTGATCTCAGTATAGATTTTGACTGATTACTACGAGTCTATCTGATTTACTTTTCTACTCTTATAAAGTTGAACCATGTCAAATAGCATTGTTCAAGTATGAAATCGCATTTGCAAGCAGTTAGGATGAATTTAGATCTGTTCATCCGGTCTCGTCTGGTCTTTCCAAACTTAGCACCATCTTAGGCTAGAGGTAGTTCAGCTCTAACTAGAAAATCTTGAGATGAATATAAAGGCATATATATGAGCTACCAGTAGAGGAGTTTTGAAAGGGAATAAATTCTTTTATGACTTTTTTTGATCTTACCACCAACACTCACCCTTCCTATTTTCAAGTTGTATATGTATAATTTAGAAAAGCAAAATAGCTTTGTCTAATAGTTTCTGACAGTTGAAAGATTCCGGTTTCTCAGTTTTCGAGCATTGCTAACTGAAGACAATAAAAGATTTGAACGATTTCTATAGAGTTTCTGATATACTAAACTAATCTATCAATCTAGCGAAACAAAAAACAAATCGTTAAGCGTATGTAAATCCATAATATCTAAGTATAGAGTAGATGATTCATATATTGTCGCCGAATACGGGCTTATTAAGACCAAGTGTCTTTGTTGCCTTTGATATAGTTTAATAATTTTTATAAGAACTTTGGATAAATATGTATTTTAGTTCTTTCTTACAATTTACCTGAGTTCACTGCCTATACTACTTGGAGTGCCAACGGAATAACATTTGCAAATACAACTACACTTGGAACATCTCCGTATGGTATATTTATTGATACTAACAATACTATATATGTATCTGAGCGAAGTACAAATCGTGTTCAGGTATGGCATGACAGTAGCAGCGTACCTATAAGGAATCTCACCAGTGGTTTATCTAGTCCATATTCTATATTCGTTGCTATTAATGGTGATATCTATGTCGATAATGGTGGTTCAAATACTCGAGTTGATAAATGGACATTAAATTCAACTACTAGTATTTCAGCAATGTATGTGAAGAACTCGTGTTGGGGTCTTTTTATCGATATTAATAATAATCTTTATTGTTCAATGAGTGCACTTAATCAAGTTGTCACGAAATCATTGAATAATAACTCAGCTATGTGGATAGTTGCTGCTGGCGCAGACTGTTCAGCACCAAGTACGAATACACTTAATGGTCCTCGTGGAATTCACGTTGACACAGATCTGAATTTATATGTTGCTGATTGTGGAAATAATCGAATTCAATTATTTTTATCAACACAAGTAGTTGGAAAAACGATTGCAACAGGAACTATTATTCTAAATTGTCCTTCTGGAATTGTTCTTGATGCTAATGATTATCTCTACATTGTGGACTATAATAATCATCGTATCGTTGGGTCAGGACCGAATGGATTTCGCTGTTTAGTTGGATGTTCAAGTGTTGCAGGTTCAGCATCTAATCAATTATACTATCCGACAGCTCTAAGTTTTGATAGTTATGGAAATATGTATGTTGTTGATCAAAACAATTATCGAATACAAAAGTTTCTTATAACAAGTACTTATTATGGTAAGTACAATAGAATCTTCTTTTCTCATTATCGAACAAACGAGAGAAAATATTCTAATATTTTATCTTTTCATTGCATTTTCAAAATTTTCATTTCAATAAATAGGCTGTACTATGTTGCTCAGATAGTTGTAGTATCGATGATATGAATAGTAATTCGATGAATAAAGATTAAAAAATGTCGAAAATGCCGAGTTTCAAAGTCAGACTATCTCTTGAAGTTACTCGCGACTGGTTATCTTGTGCATATTTGAGTAAGTGAGCTGATATCGCTATATATATATATGCGTTGATTGATATCTCTCTCACTGCACATTTCTTCTGAGTGAACAATCTGTTTGTGAATATAACGCAAAAGAAAACCGTTATTTAATGCTCTAAACAATTACCAGCCGCATTTTTATTAGTTGTTTCATGAATATAGATAAATGGATTTCATTAAATTTGAACCATAGGATTTAACCGAAGTTCAGAACTCGAGATCTAGATTTGGTCTTGTAAATCATTGAAAGTTGAGCTGCTTTTCTTCAGTGATTCACCGGAAGAATTATCTTCAGATAGTACTTAATACCACAAGATAGCTGAAAACAGCAGGATATTCTTCTTCTTCATTGAAATTGCAATGATTCATTTAAATGAGAATGATTTGATAATATATTCTAACAGAAGTGAATGAGATATCTAGTAAATTTCCACTTTTTTCTTAGATGTGACTCTTAATCGACCTAACTTATGTCCATCTACAACATGGTATACAAATGCAATTACATTTGCTAATAGTAGTACGGCTGGAGCAAATGTATATGGTGTTTTTGTTGGTCTTGATAATACTGTTTATGTAGCTAATACACAAACTAACAAAGTTGTAGTATGGCTCGAAGGAAGTATTAATCCTGATAAAATTCTTTCTGGTAGTCTGAGTGCACCATATGATCTTTTCGCTACTTCTCTAAATAATATCTATGTTGATAATGGTTTAAATAATCATCGAATTGATAAATTTTCATTCAACTCAAATATAAGTACTCCTGTAATGTCAGTTCCTAATGGATGTACTGGCATTTTTGTGGATATTAGTAATACTCTTTATTGTGCAGCGTATACTTCTCATCAAGTTGTTAAGAAATGGTTGAATGAGAGTGTACTCACATCAACTATAGTTGCTGGTACGGGTACAGCTGGATCAACAGCGACGACACTTAATACGCCTATTGGCGTTTTTGTCGATGCTAAATTTAATTTATATGTTGCAGATTGTAGTAACAATAGAATACAAATGTTTCCTCTTGGTCAATTCACTGGAATAACTGTAGCAGGAGCAAGTGCACCAGGAACTATTACACTTAATCTGCCAAATGGTATTGTATTAGATGATAATGGATATCTTTTTATTGCAGATGCTAATAATAATCGAATAATTGGACAAGGACCATATGGTTTTCGATGTCTATTTGGATGTACTACTACTGCTGGTTCTGCATCAAACCAATTGAATTTTCAACCAACTCTAAGATTTGATAGTTATGGAAATATATTTGTTGCTGATAGAAATAATTATCGCATACAAAAGTTTATCTTAGCATCAAATTCATGTAGTAAGTTATTTTTACTTTATGCTTTTGATGATATAAATTTATTTATTTTAGGTCTTTCTTATAATCAACCAACATTTTGCTCAAGTGCATCATGGTCTGCGAATGCCGTAACTTTAGTCTCAAGTTCTATTGTTGGTTTATTACCTTATGGTATTTTTATTAATGGAATTAATACTGTGTATGTACCTAATCGAATTAGTAACACTATTCTATCATGGCCTCAATGGAGTACTACATATACAAGTAATACTTATAGTAATTTGAATAATTCATATAGTCTTTTCATGTCTATGACTGGTGATATTTATCTTGATAATGGTTATTCATATGGTCGAGTCGATAAATATACATTTAATTCATCAAATCGTGTTACTGTTATGAATGTGAATGGAAGTTGTTATGGTATATTTATTGATATTAGTAATAATCTTTATTGTTCACTTAAAAACCTTCATCAAGTTGTTAAACTTTTACTTAATAATGGTACAACCATTCCGACAATTGCAGCTGGTAATGGTTCTGCTGGATCACTATCAAATATGCTTAATTCTCCTCAAGGCATCTATGTTGATAGTAATTTAAACCTATATATTGCAGACAGTGCTAACAATCGTATTCAATTTGTTCAAACTGGTCAGTTAGATGGAGTGACACTCGTTGGTAATGGTTCATCAGCAAATATTACACTCAACTATCCAACTGGAATTGTCCTTGATGCTAATGGTTATCTTTTTATTGTCGATAGTTATAATCATCGTATTGTTGCTTCAAGTTCTACTGGTTTTCGATGTATAGTCGGGTGTTCGGGAGGTGGTTCAACTGCGTTTCAATTATCTTTTCCACAAAGTATGGCTTTTGATAGCTATGGAAATATATATGTTACTGATCGAAATAATAGTCGAGTACAACAATTCGCTCTTCAAAATAACAGCTGCCGTAAGTTATTTGAATATAATAGTACATCATAAAGTTGTAATTGATAGTTAGTTGTTTGCGACTATCATTTGAAAAAAATGACAAAATTCAAATGAAATGTTGCTTGAATTATTTGATCTCATGTTAATATTTTTAATATAACTTCCCTCTAATTTAACTTAGTAAAGCACAATTGTTTTATATTTTAGCAATACCGACCACCACCACCACTACTACTACGAGCAGCGGCAGTAGTACCACAACTAGCACTACTACTACTACCACCACTAAGACTACAAGCAGCAGCAGTACTACAAGTACCACTACCACCAGCACTAGTACCACAAGTAGCACTACCACTAGCAGTACTACTACTAGTAGTAGCAGTACCACCAGCAGCACTACTACTACTACCACAAGTACTACAAGTAGTACTACTACTACCACCACTAGTACCACAAGCAGTAGTACCACCAGTACCACCAGTACCACTACTACTACTACTACCACCACTAGTACTACAACGAGTAGCAGCAGTACTACAAGTAGTACTACTACCACTAGCAGTAGCACCTCAAGCAGTACTACTACCACGACCAGCACTAGCAGTACTACTAGTACCACTACCACTACAAGTACTACAACAAGTAGCAGCAGTACTACAAGTAGTACTACTACGAGCAGCAGTAGTACCACAAGTACCACTACCACAAGCAGTAGCAGTACCACAAGTAGCACTACTACTACGACCACCACTAGCAGTACCACTACGAGCAGTAGCAGCACTACAAGTAGCAGTACGACGAGTAGTAGCAGTACTTCAAGTAGTACTACCACGAGCAGCAGTAGTACTTCAAGTAGCACCACTACTATGACCACCACTAGTAGCACCACAAGTAGCACCACAAGTAGCAGTACAACGAGTAGTAGCAGTACCACAATTAGTACTACCACCACCACTAGTAGTACCTCAAGTAGCACGGCATCCATCATAACTTCTCAAGGATTAGATATCAATGAAAGTAATAGATGAATAATATAAAAAATATAGTTTATTGATTTTTCTTTTCTAAATTAGCTTGCTATTCACCTACGATTATATTGATTCCTGGTCAATCATCTCTATCATCTCCAATGTCGTATCGACGTAGTCAAGATTTTTCTATTAGTTCAATGATTCAATTTAATTGTGATGGTTCACTTTCAACAACTACAAAATGGACAATAAAGAATTGTACTTCAACTAGTTGTTCATTTGAAATTGCATTAAATGAAAAAGTTATGACAACATTTAGTGAACTTTATATTCCATCAAGAACTCTTGATTATGGTGTTTATCAACTGACATTAACTGTAACAATGATTGATTCGTCGAATTTAAAATCATCATCTTCAGTTTATGTAAGAATAACTGCAACAGGTATAACAGCAAATCTTGTTCAATTAGGAACATCTATGATAACACGAGGTGATCAACAGGATCTTCTACTTGATCCTGGAACATTTTCGGTTGATCCTGACGAAGATACATTTGATGCAACTGTAAGTATAAATATCTGTAGGTGAATATTTAAATAATTGTTATTTTATTCGTAATTATAGAAATGGAAATATACTTATTATTGTCGAATTTATGATTTATATAATTTTCCAAATGTACAAGGAATATTATTATCAATTGATGATTCAACAATTGATCCTTATAATCCATCATGTTTGTCAAATCGATCGGGTAAAATTGTTAATAACAATCTAATTTTATTGAAGTTCTGATCTTTATTAAAACACTTCTTTTTTATTACTCTGTATAAAGGAAATGGAACAGGATTGATATTCGGAAATTTAACTTCATCACCTAATTCATCCTTAACAGTTCTCAGTGGTTCACTTCAATCTAATCGAATGTATCAATTTATGGTCTATATGGAAAATCGTAAGAATTCTTCTATTCAAGCAACAGGTTATGTACTTGTTACAATTGAAGTTACTCATCCACAACTGATTGCTGTTGGGTAAGCTACTTATAAGTTTTTAATTGAATTATCCTAACGAAAAATATTTATCTTAGTTGTGTAATATCACCAATGTGTGTTCCAAATCTTGAATTTCAACTTCTTAATCCAACAACACAAGTTGCTCTATTTACTGTGTGTATTGGAACTTGTACAAATCTTCAAAGTATCAAATGGAATATTTATCAAGGATTCGACAATTTAACATCTTCAAATTCTACTCAATGGACTTTATTTAATAATACGATTCTATATGAAAGTATTTGGTTTTATGGTAAAAAATTTTGTTTTCTTAATTATCAAATATATTCTTTTATTGATTATTTCAGGTACAAATACAAGTAATTTCACAGCAACAGATCTATTATTTCTTAATAATCTTCAAATAAGTCTTTGGCGTTTTGAAGTTGTTTATACATTTCTATCCGCAATAAGTACAAGTGCATTGAATTTTATTATTAATCAACCACCTGCAAATGGTTCGTGTTCAATCAATCCTTTTGATGGTACTATAACTACTTTGTTTACTATTGAGTGTCCAAATTGGTATGATGTAGATGGAATACAAGATTATTCATTATATGGTATGTTTTGTTTTCATTAAAGACTGACTTTTGTACTTTCTATCATTTTAGCATGGACAACAGACATATCACAACGAACAATAATTGCATTTTCACCAGAAGATAATTTTCAAGTTCGATTACCAGCTGGTGATAATGAAACTTCATTACTCAATCTTGTTGTTTATGTTCGAGATCTTGCGGGCTCTGTTACACAAGTGAATATATCTTCTGTTAATATTATTGCAGATTTGACAACAATCAATGATTTAATTGATAAAATAACAAATTCATCGAGTACGATAACAAATAATGCAATTGTTCGATTACTTTCAAGTGGAAATCAAAATATTGTTGGACAAATAATGACTTCATTATCACAAGAATTCAATCAAATGAATAATGACAATTTAGATAAAGCTATTTCAAGTAATTATTCATATTCAGTTTATCAAAGATAATCAAAATAATCTTTCTTAGGTGGAATACCAGCTGCATCGATTTTAGTATCATCATTAGGAAGTCAAAGTTTACAACAAGTAATTGAATTTAATAGATTTTATTTTATTTAATTTCTATTTAAAATAGATTTCAATACCATTGAATGAATCAGCTTTGATTAATTATATTATACAATTAAATTCTTTAGCAAATGTTCGAGATTATTTAGTAACATTTATAACTAATCTTCTCATAACAACATCAAATAGTATTATATTACAATCATCATCATTAGCTCAATTAACTCAATCAACAAATCAATTAACACGAAATACTTTAGTAAAAACTATAAAGAATATTTATATTGAAGATTATTATATTTCTTAATAATTCTAGTTGCTCGTATCAAATAGATGTTATGAATTATCTGCTGCATTGTATTCAATGTTTGAAAAAATCTCATACGAAGATGCTCAATCAGCATCAAATCAACTTTTTCAATGTGCTTCAAATATTTTAAATGTAAAATATATAAAATTAGTATTCTCACTTCTCTATCCAACTCTTGAGGCTGTGGGTGTGGACGATGATACGAGATGAAATCAGCACCCACACCCTTCAATGATTTTGACATAAAATGAATTTTTTTTTCTTTAATTATCGATCCTAATAATTTTAGGCTGTGAATGGACCATTGCAAGGACGAACAGAGGTACTTGATTTGGATAATTCTCGTGCAAATGTCATATCTGCTGATTATGATACTGATCTTGAATCTGCATGGTCAAATTTAAGTAAGATCTTTCAAATGATTAATTATTATTGAATTTGAGTTTTGGTTTTTTGTAGATTTATTTTCTGATGGAAATGATTTTTCTACTGAAACAATTGAAAAAAATCGAAATATTTATTATCAAAAACAATTAGCAAATGAAATTAGCACACAAGTAACATCAATGATATCATTAATAACATCTTCATTAAATATTCATTTAAATATTGGTCAAAATTCAACAATAAATACATCTCAATCATTTGTATCATTAGAAACTATATCAACTGAATCACTCAAAGATAGACTTGTTAAACAAGTTGAAAATGCTCAATTTAGTATTCCATCAGATTTTATTTTAAACACAACGTCGAATTCTTCAATTTCACTTCGAGTAATTTTATATAATTTGAATTATTTTTATTAAATTATTTTTTGTTTTATTCAGTCCAAAATAGATCTACTTGCTTCATATGGAAATTTTCAAAATACAAATCTTTCAAGATCAATTTCACTTTCAATTATTGATCAAAATGGAAATGAAGTTTCTTTTGAAGCCCACCAAAATAATCCAATACAATTGATTATTCCTCGTGATCCAAATCTATTAATTCCATCAATGTATTTACAAAATGTTACATCAATTAATTCAACTATTAATAATTTATTATTTAATTATTATTATATTAATATAACAAGTTCTCTTCCAATTTCAGTTCATTTTGAAATTCATTCTTTAAATACAAATTTAGCTTATTTATTTATTTATAAATTTGATCAAACACCACAATTAAATAGTTCAATTAATCTCATTGATGGATGGACAATGTTTTGTCCTTTCAGTATGTTTTCTTTTCTTGAACATTCATATAAATTTCTTTTTTGCAATTATAGATTTAACCGGCGATGATATATATCGATATTTTATTGATAATCAACAAACACCTGGTCATCAATCATTAATATTTGGAATAAGAGAATTAAATTCAACTGAAATGAATAATTATTGTTTAAATAGTTCTTCAATAAATACGTCTTTACCAATTACCGATGAATCAATTAATTTTACATCAAATTATGAACTTCTTATATATACATCAGGTTGTTATTATCTTGATGAAAATAATAATTGGAAATCAGATGGATTAATAGTTGGTCCTTTGACAAATCTCTATGAAACCGAATGCCTTTCAACTCATTTGACAACATTTGCTGGTGGTTTTATTGTTTTACCTGCACCAATTAATTGGAGTTATGTTTTTGCAAATGCTGATTTTATGAAAAATAAAACAGTTTATTTAACAATGATATTTACTTCAATAATTTATATTATTTTAATAATTTATGCACGTTTTAAAGATAAGAAAGATTTTGAAAAAGTAAACTAAAATATATTGTTTTATATATTTCATACAATCAAAATATGTATTTTTGTTTTCAGTTAGGAGTAACACCATTAGCTGATAATAATAAATCTGATCATTATCATTATCAAATTCTTGTTTTTACTGGTCAAAGAACAAATGCAGGAACAGATTCAAAAGTAATATAGTACAAAAAAAAAATATTTTAAGAAACCTTTTTTTTCTTTTTGCAAGGTTTATTTTGTCTTATCGGGTGATAATGATCAAACACAAATTCGATTATTTTCTGATCCTCATCGAAAGATTTTTCAACGTGGTGGAATTAATTCTTTTATTACTGCTGTTCCAAAGTAAAATTATTAGTTTTTTTTGAAGATTTAATAAAAGATTAACATATAGATCATTGGGATTATTAAATTATATTCGTATTTGGCATGATAATACAGGTGAAGGTTCTTCAGCATCATGGTTTTTAAAATATATTATTGTTCGAGATTTACAAACTTTGGATAAGTTTTATTTTATTTCTCAACAATGGTTTGCAGTTGAAAAAGATGATGGACGAGTAAGTCGTGTAATTGAAAACATACTATTTCTTATTTTTGTCTTTAATTTAGATCGAACGAACTTTGCCAATTGCTAGTGACGCAGAAAAACAAGAATTTTCATATGTATTATCAAAAAAAGCTTATCATAGTGTATCCGATGGTCATCTATGGTTTTCAATATTTTCTCGTCCACCATCAAATAAATTTACACGTGTTCAACGATGTACTTGTTGTTTTGTTTTATTCTTTACTTCAATGTTAATTAATATTATGTATTATGATTTATCAAATGAAGCGAACGCATCAAGTGAAACACATAATGGTGCTTTATCAATTGGTCCTTTTTATATAGCACCACAACAGGTATATATTGATTTTTATAGCGAAGAATATAGACTACACCCACATCCTTGTGCCTCTAAAATGTCCAATTTCTGATTAATGAAAGCATTTTATATATTTAAGATTGGAATTGGTATAATGGTCGAATTATTTACATTTATTCCAAGTCTCTTAATTGTTCAATTCTTTCGACGTATTCAACCTCGTCGACAAATTGCACCAATACGTGAAGCACTATATAAGATACAACCATCTCGAAAAACGTTCGTATATATTTCTAAATACATTCATCGACACTTACATTCTTAATTATAGCAGTTCGGAAGATATCCCAGCAATTAAGAAAAAGATATCTTCAATAACATTTCCTTGGTGGTGTTTATTTATTGCTTATGGTCTTTCAATGATAATTATTGTTATTTCAATATTTTTTATCATTGTTCGAGGAATTGAATTTGGTGATGTCAAAACTCAACAATGGTTAACATCTGTTCTTACTGGCTTTTTCTCCTCAGTTATTTTCACTCAACCTATTAAAGTATACTTTCTTCTTACTTTTAATCTATATTTTTGAAATATTTTCTCATTGAAGATTATATGTTTGGCTATATTCTTCATATGTTTTTGTCGAAATTCAAAAGATGATAAAGAAACAAGCGAATATATAAATGAAGATGATGAATTTAATATATCTAATGATGAAGAGTATCTTCATTCACTTGAGGTTTGTTTTCTTTTAGAATTCCATAGAAAAATAAATTTTCTATTTATAGTATCGCTCAATATTTTCTTCCCAATCTCGAAAAAGTATTAATCGTCTTAATGAAAATGAAATTATTTATGCTCGTGATCAACGTTTAAAAGAAATTCAAATGTGGGCAATTATTCGAGAATTTCTGATTTATTTTATATTTGCAACATTAGTTTGTGTAATAACTTATTCAAGTCGTGAACAACATAGTTTCTTTCAAGTCAATCATTTACGAGCTTATTTTCTCAATCAAAGACAAACGACTGCTGATTATACTCAAGTTTGTTCTTCTTTTCTTGTATTGAAATGACTTTTGTTTTTCTAGATCAATACAATCGATGAATATTGGTACTGGTTAGAAAATAGTTTTGTTTCAAATATTCGTGCACAACATTGGTATAATGGGAATGTTCCTCAATATTTAAATGGATTTTTAAATGATAAATCTAATCGATTAATTGGTTGGGCAACAATCAGACAATTGCGTGTTAAATCAGAATTATGCTTCGACCAACGTATTATTTCAATATGTGAAGATAGTTATAGTTTTGCTAATGAAGAAACACAATTATTTCAACCAGGATGGTCAACAAATGCAACGACCGAAGAATTCAGTTCATCAGTGATAAAAGCATTTAACTATTCTACGAGTGATGAATTAGATACATATTCGTATATAGGTGAATTTGGAACATATGGAGGAGGTGGTTATGTATATGAATTTCGTGGCCCTTTATCTGATATGAAAACAAATTTATCTACACTTCATCAATTAGATTGGATTGATGAGAAAACAAGAGCTGTTTTTATTCAGTTAACATTATATAATCCAAGTGTTCAATTATTAACTGCAGTTACTTTACTTGCAGAATTTTTACTAACAGGTGGTATTTATACAACAGCCCATTTTGAACCAATCAATTTTTACAGTAATATACTCCTTATTTTCTATTTCTAAAGACAAATAAATTTTTGTTTTTTAAATTTAGCATTTACATCAATATTACAATTAGTTTGTACAATTCTTTATATATTTTTTATTATCTATTTTATGATTATTGAAATTCGATTATTATTTGAATTAAGATTAAAATATTTTCATCAATTTTGGTCACTAATTCAATTAGGTATCATCGGCTGTTCACTGGGAAGTATTGGAGTTTATTTTTGGCGTTTTCAAGAAACTAATCGTATAAGTCAATTATTCGAACAAACAAATGGATATATTTATATAAATTTACAACTTGCAGTTTATGTTAATGATATTTTAACATTTCTTCTTGGTTATTGTTGTTTTTTTAGTACGATTAAATGTCTTCAATTACTTCGTTTTAATCAACGAATATCTTTATTCTCTGGAACATTAAAATATTGTGCAAAAGCACTGATTTCATTTTCAATAATGCTTGCAATTGTATTTATAGCATTTCTTTGTTTATTTTATTTATTATTTGTATCAAAACTTTCGTCATGTTCAAGTTTATTAACAACTGCTCAAATGCTTTTTGAAATGACATTAATCAAATGTGATGCATCAGAAATAAGTGGAGCTGATGCTTTTCTTGGCCCATTCTGTTTTACTTTATTTATATTTCTAGTTGTTTTTGTTTGTTTAAGTATGTTTCTTTCAATAATTAATGATAGTTTTCGTCATGCAAAACAGAATCAAAAAGAAGATCAAATTATGTTATCATTTATGCTAAAGAAATTTTTACGATGGACAGGTACGTAGATTTGTTTGATTTATTCAAGTCAATTAGATTAAATGACTTCAGAGCTTCACTTGTGTGCCATTCATTTTCATAATTATTTTTTTCACGAGTAAAGGAGAGTATGGCTGAAGAGAAGACTTGTACACTCACTTTCAAGATTGGCGTATCCTAATAGAACATAGTTGTCTATTAATATTTTAGGTCTGAAAAAATTAAATCAATCAGAAATTCAAGAAGAACGAGATTGTCGAATGCGCTCGCAATATGTTGATTCAATAGATAATTTTTCCAACAGAATCGATCAATTATTAGAAGCATTTGATAGAGTATGTTAATATCAGAAGTTTTTCTATTTCAAATTATTTTGTATTATATTTCTAGATTTATGTCGATCAACAAGCAGAATTATTAAGATTAAAAAAAGCTGGAGTTTAGGTGTTGTTTTGCAATTATGATTATCGGAAGATAATTGATATCAGTATACTCAATTTTAGTTAGATGCTAAAGCTTTTTGTGCGCGTGTGTTTCTAAATATTTTATATGCCTGTATGATTTTTGCTTAAATAGATTCAAAAAATAAATATTTAAAATTAACCATGTGTTTGTAATTAGAGGGTTAGATAATTATTCCGGCGAAGAAAGTAAAAAGTTGGGCGTGGATGTGTCATGTGTATAATAATCATACCTATACGCATACCCTTCTAATATATATAATTTTTAAGTAAACATTAAATGGCATTTTCTTACATCCAAAAGACGTAGAAATATAACGACTGTTTCTTTCCATTGATCATTACTTGTAGAAAAATGTCTGAGATATCACATTGCCTCGATAAATATGATAAAACGAAGGAGTATGATGGGCCAGCTTATAAGACGATCTTTAAGATCGATAATATTGAATGCATGTTATTTGACTATCTATTACATTTTAATCAATAGTTTCTAGAAAATGCGATAAAAATGATCAACATAATGCTAAAAATCACATAAGCAATTATTCGGTAATTTCTCATACTTTTTTCATTGCATTGATAGCAGTCAATACTTCTTATTTTTAAATTAACTATCTTTACACATTGCATGAGATATCTATACATAAATTATATTAGTTTTTTTTACTGATTTCTTATCAATTTAGACGAAGGACATGTCTGAAGCATTAAAAACGATCCTTGTATTCGTTAATGCAATTAATGATTTTAAATTTTGTATTTTTCATTAATACTAACTTTCGTTCATGGCCGTGCTTATTACATCAAGAAAAAAAGATGTAAATGATATGCAATACCATGATGTTATGATACGATCAAATTTACCTTGTCGATACGCACGCATACCATTTTTTTTCTTTCGTTCTCATGACACTTCAACATTACGTCTTCATATGTGATAGATAAAAGTACATATAAGCTATTAGTTTGCATATAATATTAATATATCAAATATATAGTCTCCTTTACTATTGTTTTGATACCAAAACTCTACTTAATTTTAACACAATACAAAAAATACTGATGAGTGGAACGAGTTCTATTCCGCCTGATTATCAAAATGCTAACCCATTACTTTACACATTTCGAAATGATAATACCGGTATTCAACCGTACTTTATTATCGTTGCACAATTTTTCATATTTGAAATCTCTTTACGACTTTGGGATCGAGCAGTCTATGGAACATGGCTATTACCAAGTGATTTGATTATTATTAAAAGAATTCCATCTCTACCTCCACCCCCACCTCCACCTCGACCTCCATTCCCATTATCTTCAGAACTGATTCAAAGTGGTATCAATAGTATATCGACAGGACGGCGTTCGTCTCGTATTCGAACCATTTATTTTCTTCGAGATAGTAAAGGCATCTTAATAAAAACTGATGAAAAAGAAGAAATGCCAACATTTGATTTACATGATATTGTTGTCTCTGTTTTACCATTACTTGCTCATACAATTTGGTTTTGTTTTATTCAATCTTCATGTATGTCAGGTGCAAATGCTACGACATGGAATTGTTATAATTTATTTGGTTATCGAATATATAATTATTTATTTGGTCCATTTACTGATTTTGCTTATGAATATATTTCTAAATTAATTATATTACGTGACATGAGAGAATTAAGAATTCCATTGATTCATCATAAGAAAAGATGGCGAAATATATTAGCAATGATTATCTTTTATCCAGCTTTAGTTTTGTCAACTATAACATTTATTTTTGTTGGAGGTTTACTTCTTCCATATGCTTTTACAAATGTTATACCAATGGTGATCGTTTATTCATTTTTAGTCGTTATTTATGCATATGTTGTCTCGGTTATCACTCTTCTAATCAAATTTTATACATTTGTTACTGGAAATATATTTTCTTTTCACGGTGAAAAACTTAATTTTATTAAAAAACAAATGAAGAAATATCATTTTAAACGACGCTTGGTTATTCGGTTTGGTGCTCGACTATTTCCATATTTAATTTCAGTCTTGTTCAATTTATCTCAATATTTTTATTACGGAGATGACTATTTAGGAGCACTTACCCGTGAAGCTGATTCAAGAGATCTAACTCCATATTTTGCTCGAATGACAAATTCATCACAATTAGCTCATACCATATTAACTACTATATAATATCATCAGAATTTTCTCCTATTCATAATTAACATAAAACTGTTCTAACTTTGAATTTTAATAAAGTTTTTTTTAACCTTATTTGACTTTTCAAAAAGGTATAGGTGTGGGTGTAGAAAAATAATGAATTCCCACATCACAACACCCACACTCTAGTTTTACATATATACGTGTATGTAGGATAAGAGTGGTAGTCTTCATTATTACGCTTGTAATATGTAATCTATAATTATACCTATAACATACATGATAAATTTTGAATGAAACTTATAAATAATTTTATAAAATCAAAGCGTGAACGCATCTGGCTGTTCATCTATTTTATTGATTTGTTTATGAAATAATCTTTCAGTAGCTACATATTTCGATATTCAGTGAGGTATTCAATTAAGTAGGAAAGAAGATATAAAGAAAAAAGTTAATTGATTCAGGATGAAATTATCCATCATTGTTTGTTACGGAGTCTGTCTACCAGAGCTTGATTTTCTTGTACTTCCGAATGATCGGGACCATAACCTAAACGAGCGCTTTTGACAGAATTTTCAGCATGTTTCACAGCAGCTGTGTAGTTTTGGAGACCTTCATAAATTATTGCCGTATTGTAATACATAATAGCCATCGATTTATGATTTGGAGACGATAACGTTTCTTGAATTTTGAGTGATTTCTCATAGAATTCTGCAGCAACTGATTTGTTCTCCATGGACGAATATATTGACGCTATAGCACTATAAAGTGGAACTAGTGACGGATCGGTAGACGACAGCTTTTTTACTCGAATCTCAAGTGCTTTTTTGTAATATATGAGTGCATTTTGTTTGTCTTCTATTGCTCCATAAGCTACAGCAACATTGTTGTAGTTGGTTGCTAACTCGAGTTCATCTCTTGAGGAAGACTTTTCACGGATTGTAGCTGCTTTTAAATAATACGAGACTGCATTTGAGTAGTCTTTCATATCGAAATACATTGAGGCGATGCTGTTGTAAGTTATAGCAAGTGTTAGATCATCAGAAGACAGTTTCTTCTCGCGAATTGCTAATGACTTGTGATAATATTTCAGAGCGTTCGAATTTTCATTTATCAAACTATAGCTGGCCCCAATATTATTGTAGTTGGTTGCTAACTCGAGTTCATCAATCGAGGAAGATTTTTCACGAATAGTGACTGCCTTTAAATAATATGAGATCGCATTTGAATAGTCTTTCATGTCGGAGTACATAGAGGCGATGTTGCTGTAAGTTGTAGCAAGTATTAGATCACCTGGAGACAGTTTCTTCTCTCGAATAGCTAATGATTTCTGATAATATTTCAGAGCATTTGATTTTTCGTTCATCCAACTATAAGTGGTCCCAACATTACTGTAGTTGGTTGCTAAATCAAGTTCATCTTTTGAGGAAGACTTTTCACGGATGGTAACTGTTTTTTTATAAAACAAGAGTGCCTGCTTATAATCTTTTATACCAAAATATGCTGAACCAATGTTATTATAAGTAGAAGCAAGTAACAGACTATCAGGAGCCAATTTTTTTTCTCTAATGGCACGTGCTTTCTCATGAAATGCAAGCGCTTTTGTATAATCTTTCATTGAATCATATACTAATCCAATATTAGTGTATGAGATCGCCAGATCACCATGATCCTTAGGAAGTGATTTTCGTTCAAGGTCAAGTGTTTTTTCATAATACAAGAGTGCCTTTTGGTATTCACTCATTGCATTATAGGTTAAACCAAAATTGTTATATGTAAGTGCCAAATCACGCTGCTTGGGAGTAGAAGATTTCTTTTGTATTTCCAGTGCTTTTTCGAAAAATGAAAGAGCATCACTATACTTTTCCATCGCATGATGTGCTGAGCCAATGTTGTTCAAAGTCGTAGCTGCTTTATCTGATTGACAAAATTGGGGATTATTTTGACAGATTTCATACGCTTTCTGATATGAAGAAAGTGCCGCAGAGTATTGAGTCATAGATTGATAAATAGTCCCAATATTGTTGTAGGAAGTAACGAGAGATGGATGGTTCGAAGGCAACGAAATTTGTTTGATTTTAAGTGATTTTTCATAAAACGATAGAGCTTTTTGTTTATCTCCCATCGAACTATAGATAGTACCGAGATTATTGTAACTATTAGCTATATCGGGATGGTTTGGAGCAAGTGAACGTTCTCGAATTTCAAGTGCTTTTTGATAATATGATAGCGCAGTTGGCTTATCATCCATTGAACTATAAACAGATCCAAAGTGACCGTAAGTATCAGCAAAAGTTGGATGATTCTCAGGAAAAGCAACTTTTTCAATTACGAGTGCTTTTTCAAAACATGAAAGTGCCTTAGAATAATCTTCCATGTGATTATATACTGAACCGAGACAAGTATAGGTGCTAGCGTTATCTGGGTGATTAGCAGAAAGAGATAATTCTCGAATCTCACGCGCTTTTTCGTAATATTCCAATGCTTTCAAATGATCGCCCATCGAACTGTGAACAGAACCGAAATTAGCGTAACTTGTCGCTAAATCTGGATGTTTTGGAGGAAGAGCCTTTTCTCGAGTATCAAGTGCTTTTTGAGAGAATTCGAGAGCTTTCAAATAATCGCCCATCTCTTGATATAGTCCGCTAAGATTACCATACATGGTTCCAAAGTCAGGATGATTTGGTGGAATTTTTTTCTTTCGAATTTCGAGTGCCTTCTGATAGAATGATAGGGATTTGTCAAAGTCTGCTAATATTCGATATATCAAGCCAATGTTACCGTAGGTTGTAGCGAGTGCAGGATCATCCAAAGGAAGAGATTTCTCTTGTATGTCCAATGCTTTTTGATACGATGAGAGAGCGGATTTAGAATCTCCTAATGACTCATAAACGCCAGCGATATTATTATATGTTGTAGCTAGTGATGGATCATCAGGTCCCACAAAATCGATTTTACTTTTAAGTGCCTTTTCGTAGTACGAAAGTGCAGTCTTGTAATCACCTTTCTCACTAAAGACATATCCGAGTTGATGATTAAGATGATATTGTTTACGCCAGTTATTTTTATCTGTTGAATCCAGTTGTGAACCGTATATGTCATGAGCTTGATCGAATTCACCCATTTTAAGCATTAAATGACCAAGTTTGCTAAGTGAATCACCTTCGCCAAGCTCTTTTCGCATATAATCAGAAAGAAGTTTCAGTTGTGGATCATTATCACTTGTTAAAGTTAAATTGACTTGCCAAAATCCAGCAGACAGTTTTCGTGCACCCATAATCCGAAAGACGGTATGCATCGAGAAAAGTTTTTCACCTTCATATTCATATTTACTCGCTTTGTCGATAAAAGCAAAAGGAACCGAGGATTTCTTTGGATTAATTTCCATCTGAAAGATGATCGCTACAACTTTTGAATTCTTGTGTACTTTTTCTGCAAAGTCTATCGCGATTTTTTCATCGATAGTTGTTGATAGGAAATTGTTGAACGAGAGAAGGCCACCCTGACTTGCTTCTATCTTTTCCAGTTCCTCGAGTGCCATACCCTGTCCTCGGTAAACAGTGAACGTATCATTATCACGTGTTTCTGATTGTGCTTTATGCATTTCTACAATTTGCTGATGAAGATCTTGTAGAAAGAATCCCATTTTCATGATCATCTCGATATCTTGTGTTCTTAAAGCTCGATTTAGTGACCCATAAAGGAAGGATTCTTTTGTATACCATTCAATAGCTAAACGATTGTTATATTCGATAGCAAATTCATCAATAAGACCCAATTGAAGAACATCATCCGCATATTTTGGTCGACAATATTCGACTAGTTTAGCTTTTGCTTCAGGATCATGTTTCATTTCTAACAGAATCTCTTTCAGCAATTGTGTATACATGAATGATTGATCTAGTTCGTTTGCAGTCGAGCTCGGAACATCCATTCGGCGTATGATACTGATCGGTGTCAAGCTACCAACTAAACCACTATCAGCCTTGATCTTTTGAAAGATATCTTCCATAGTGAACAAGATTTCTTTTACTTTCTGTGACCATTTGTTTGCCCAAGGTAGACGTTGCCTTTTCACTTGACTATATATGTAAATGGCGTCGAGTTGCGGTTTGTCATGAACAAGTGGTACAAGTTCTTCTCCCAAACCATCCGATACGATTAGAAAGATTTTTTTATCATTAATATTATCGAGATAATTGATACATTGTGCAGAATTCGTACATGAATAAACCGCTGATGTAATACGTTGAAGTTTTGTTATGGAATCATGGTACGTTTTTTTCGATTGATCAATATTTGCATCCGCCCAAATAATGACTATGTTTTGATTGACATCATGCGATGAATGTGTTGACGGATTCTTAATATTATACACCTGAACATTTGAATGTGATTCATTACTTGTTATACTTTTTCTTTTATTTTTCTTTAATGAAGCGCCAGGTAATAGTTTTTCAGTATCACTTACGGATATGCTTTGTTGATTATTAATGTTAGTTTCAGATACAGAAGTATCCGAAACAACGTGTACACTTGAACTATTTCCACAGCCCATAAGTAAGAAGTTAATAAACGTGCTTTACCTTCAGTTTTGTCGTCAATGTTGTAGAAAGAAATATACGCCGTCCTCTTTATATGTGCTTCTGATTTTCGAAGAAAGTTGTTGTTGTGGTTTTATACTATTCTGCCTACAATGAATGACTTCTTGAGTTTTAGTGATGAAGACTGAAAGAAAAAAAGTAATCTTGATATCGAATATATGAATTACTGTTCTGTAGATATCAAGAGACATTTTAAGGCCAAACAACTTACAGATATTCTTTTTCTTTCCTTCTTAAGCAGCTGAAAAGGTATCACAAAAAGAAAAATATTTTTATTACTTGTATGTCTGTGTGGTTGTGGATGAAAATGAGAATGTGAATATCAAATACAGACAACACCCACATCCTTCTAATTATATAGCTATATGCGTTTGCTTATTCTTATATGCATTAACTTTTTACAATATGATCTTGTTGAATCTTTCGACGTATAAGAGATAAAGACAGCTTCTTTTTCACCGAAAGAAACAATAGACTTTTACTGATAAGAACAACCATGAGTTCTGTAGTCATTTACGATATTCGGTCTGCAGAAAAGAAATTACGTGTAAAGCATAAAAGTATATTCTTTCTACACAGCCATTATTTGAGTTGCATCAACAACCATCTTGAGAGTGTAGATGTGGGTGTGGACAGCTATCAAGACGCGTTTCGAGGGTGGGTGTGGGTTGGGCGTTGATGGCTTCTTCATCCACATCCACACCCAGACGTACGTTTGAACATCAGTATCATATTGTTCACCTTTACGAAGAAAATAATAGCTATTCATATTCAAAACGATACTCAACTATGTAAACTCAATTACAGTGACTACTTCATCGATCAATTTTCCTACTTGAGCGAAACGTACAAATGTCGATTTGCTCGTAACTGATCTTTCATTAACAATATACTCAACATTACAAATAGCATATGATAAAGGCTTTTTGCTTAGATATTCAGATACCAGAGTGGGTGTGGGTATGACTTAGATGTAGTTGAAAAGAACATAATACTGACACAGAATTGAAAGTAATTCTTTTCTTTGAGAATTACTTTCTTCTAAGTTTTTGTACTATATCGATTAAATACTACTGAAAACATTTTCCTCTTCTTATTATATACAGGTCAAAATTATAGCTGAAATTACATTTAAAAACAATAGTTCTTTTCAATGTTGAAAATATACGAATAATAGTTGAATTTTAACTTTATCACATGATGATCTATGCATTTTTATTGTATTTGTTATAGGATAGAATCAACACGATTAGAAGAAATAAAATCGATATCAAATTTCCAATTATCGATATGTGAATAGATGCATCTGTTGTATTGCAATTACATTGACTTAGGATATTATCTGTGTTTTAAAATAAAAACACACATTTTTTTTATTATATTCTCTTATTTTCAAATCAATTATGGCTATGATCAATATCTACTGCTATGTCGTTTTTGTTATTTTCAGGTAAATAATTATTGATTTTTATCATTAATTTTATTAACATTTATTAATTTTATATTTTAGCATAACAGGTTTGATTTCTATTCTATTTTATATATTTATATGTATTAGTTTATCATTTTCATAGTTCAAATAGAATCGCAAATATGCGAGAAAACACCTCAGTATGGTGAATGCTCAACAAACAGTGCATGTGGGTGCTTTCATATGGTAGGTACTAATAATGATGTAGGTGTTTGTGGGTTTCTTTGGCCAACATGTTATTGTCTTGTACCATGTAATTCTTCAGGCAAATCATGTCAATCTAATACGATTTGCGTTCGACATCCGGAATGTGATGGTCGTCCTCTTTGCTATCCAATTGAAATGACTGATGAAACTATGCGTCCACCAATGCAAAGTGAGTGGATCTGTGGATGCCAGATGCAACATTCTTATCCACACTCTTAATATATTTGAAACCATAAATTTCATCTGTTTTAGATAAGATCAATCTTACATGGAAACAAAATAGCATCACTGTGGCTGGTGAAAATGGAGAAGGACAAGGATTAAATCAACTCCATGGCCCTGTTGGAATCTTTATCAATGGAAAGAAAAATATATTTATTGCTGATAATTATAATCATCGTATTGTTGAATGGAAACATAATGCCAGAGAAGGACAAATCATTGCAGGTGGAAATCGACAAGGAAACCGAATGGATCAATTGTATCTACCATCAGGTATGATTGTTGATCAACAAATTCATTCGATCATTATTGCTGATCGTGGAAACAAACGAGTGATTCAATGGATGAATCAAAATCAATAAATTCTCATTAATAATATTGACTGTCCTCGCTTAGCAATGGATAAATATGGATTTCTTTATGTCGCTGATTGGAAGAAGCATGAAGTGAGACGATGGAAAATGGGAGAATATAACAATGAAGGAATTGTAGTGGCCGGAGGGAATGGAAAAGGAAATAAACTCAATCAACTCAGCAATCCTAGCTTTATCTTTGTTGATGAAGATCAATCTATTTATGTATCAGATAATAACAATCATCGTGTGATGAAATGGAGAAAAGATGCAAAAGAAGGAAGAATTGTGGCTGGAGGAATTGGTCATGGAGGGAATCTTAATCAATTGTATTATCCTGAAGGAGTAATTGTTGATAATTTGGGTCAAATCTATGTAGCAGATTCTATGAACCATCGAATAATGCGTTGGTATGAAGGGAAAGAAGAAGGCGAAATTGTTGTTGATGGAAATGGGCAAGGATATCAATCAAATCAATTATATGGTCCCGCTGGTTTATCTTTTGATGAAGAAGGAAATCTGTATATTGCTGATCATTTTAATCATCGAATTCAAAAATTTGAAGTAATTTTGTGATGAAATTTTTTATTGAATAAATAATCGAGAAATAAAGTAGAAAATATAGTTTTATTTTTGAAAATCAATTAAAATTTGAAGAAAAAGACATATTTTGACAAAACAACAAAGTAAAATCTCTTTAATTTTTTTTCATGAAAACTGAATTTAATTTGATAGTTTTGATTAAAAAATTCCAATACATAGCTAGATGTACCTCTTTATATAGTAGAAAGGGTGAAGAAACTTTATCTTTCATAGTATAATGAAATAGAAAAGTATCGTTGAAAGCTCTATTCCAGAAAAAAAATTCAAAAACTTCCTAGGTAGGGCTTAGTCCCACCCAGCTCCACTAGTGGCTCCGCTACTACTATGGAGTCTGTCTACCAGAGATTGATTATCTTTTACTTCCGAATGATCAAGATCGTAACCTAAACGAGCGCTATTGAGAGAGTTTTCAGAATGTTTCACAGCAGCTGTACAGTTCTGCAGATCTTCATAAATCCTTGCCGTATTGTAATACATAATGGCCATCGATCTATGATTTAGAGTGATTTCTCATACAATTCTGCAGCATCTTGAAGGTGTGGGCGTTGGTAATGAAAAGAAACACCCACATCCTCAAGATGGATACTTCTAGGGAATTGATTTACTGTGTTAAATTATATTAAACAATGAATTTGGTTAAATCTTGAGTTAGATCGATTTTTTTACTAGAATAATTTTGAATCAATATTAATATAAATCTATTTTATACATTTAACAAAAGAATATCGAAATAAGATTTGAATGTGATTGAGTCTATTTTTCTTTTTTATAATGGAACTATTCGTTGTTAGCACATGACATCAATGAATTTATTGTTTTTACTATGTCGAAGTTTAATATTCTAGAAGAAAAAAAACAAAATTTTCAAACAAAGTTTTGACTATCACCAAAGCAAGAAGAAGAGAAAGAAAAGTGAATTGATTTTTGAAGATCTTAAGACCAGTGAGTGAGAATTTGGATGCGGAGATTTAATTTACTATAGGACCATGTGTTCATTCTTAAGAGCTTTGCAGAACTTTGGATTATTAAATAGTTTAGAATTGATAATTCATCATTTTACAAATCATCTTAGTTACAAAACACTTTTTAATGTATGTTAATATGTATTATATTATTGCACATAAGATTTCTACAATATACAGAAAAATGATAGAAACGCACATTGATTATGTAAAGCAGGTTTATATAGTTACAATTCAAATAATTAGTTTATAAAAGATTATTGAAGAAGAAATCGTTGTACCCTATTATTATAATAGTCAGAAACATATAAATATGTTTCAGTAGGATCAAGTGCCACATCACCTGGACTCGAAAGAAGTGTATTGGTACTACCCGCCATACCACTTGCACTGCCGGCTACAACCGATCCTTGTATATCTCCAAGATTCCATCGCATAACACGATTATTATTAGTATCAGCAATATAGAGAGTTTGACCATTACGTGTCATCCAAACACCTGAAGGATTATTCAATTGATTAAGATTCGATCCTGCTCCATTCCCACCTGCTACTGTTATTCCTGTTCGGTTGCTGCCTATCATAAATTTCTGAATGCGATTGTTACTAGTATCAGCGACATATAAGGCTGCTCGATCTTCATCTAAATGCATAAATCGAGGCCAATCTAATGAATTACTATCAGACCCATAATATCCTGGGTTTCCAGCAACAAGTATACCAGTTGTACTATTTGGTACCCATTTTACGATCATAAAGCAATGAGACAATATTGCGTAAATATTACCGAATGAATCAACTGTTACACCATCAATTCCATACAATCCTGTCAGAGAACAGGATGAGTCTGATCGACCTATTGGTGGAAAGCTTGTGAGATTCATTCCTGGTCGTTGAATGTACATTATACCTTGATTAATGGTGTATTCAGTCATGTATATATTATGTGAACTGTCAACAAATACATCCTCAGGCTGACTGAGTCCGTTGGAAAGAATCGTAGATCCAATACGTGAGAATGACGAAAATGATTGAAATCGAGGCATAACAAAATTGGTTACATATAGAATTCCATCGAATGGTGAAACATAGATACCCCAAGGACCCATTACACCAAATGTACCATCATCTGTACTGCCATTGCAAAAACCAGCAACTGTCACACCAATACCAATCACTGGAGCTACAATTACAAAGAAGTATTCAAGAATTATTCTTATTGTTAGTTCTGAATAGAACTGTCTATTACAAGTATAGCTAAAAATGACTTACAAGCAGTGCATTGATAAGTAAAGTTACAGGTTGGTTGACATGAAAGATTAAGATCCGTTCGACAAGCATCTGTATGTGAACATAATTGACCTTGAAATAATTGTGACATACACATTCCATTATTCCAATATGTAAATGGAGGACATTGGCAAGTTGAACTGTTTACATTACATATTTCATAACGACTTTGATCACAATGATTGCATGACTGATTGTGAATGTTAACATAATTATTAGGAGAGAATTGAACTGAACCAACAGATGATCGTGGTTTTGATGGTGAAGCAACAATTGAGCCTGTTGTGTTATCCATTTCCCATAAACGACATTGTAAAGAATCAGCATCAAAATCAAATGTTCGACAAGTGATACGCTTGTGACATTCAGCAGAACAATATAAAGACCTTTTTGTCGTACATGTAAATAGTGGAGAACGAGAAGTGTCTATAGGAATGAATTGATATCCTAAAGCACTGATTTTTGTTTTCGATTGATCTTGCATACTAAGATGAAAAGATAACAAGAAACCAAAAATAAGAAAGAATTGCATCTGTCGTACAGAACTCATGATGAAATAAAGAAAACTATTTGAAAAAAATATCATATGACTTTGTATATAAACTATTGAAAAATATATTATTATAATAGTTAATATCTTATAGTTAAATGATTTTTGTAGAATATAATCAGCTATTTTAAGTACTTTATTTGCACAAAACGTCAACGTATCTTAGAAAAGAGCATTATATTTTGAAGAGAATATAAATCGAAAAACATAATTGTTATTTTTTCTTTTTCAAGAACATATACGTCATAGTTAAAATTAAAAATCGGTCTAATTTAGAATTCTAATTTTCATCAGACTAGTTTTGGATAAATTTTAAGTAAATAAAGAAATGTATATTTCAAATTATCTTTTTTACTTTATATTGATTCTCTCTCGATTTTACAATCTCATTTTTATCAAACAAATTATAACTTCTATTTTTTTTAAAATTAATTTCCTGATAATTTTACAAGACCGTTATTTAAAATGACATTTAGTCGAGCAGAAACTCTTTAACTTTCAAATGAACGTTATTTAATAATACATTTTTTTTACAGTCGCATGTGTTCGCTTCATCATTAATCCACACCCACACCCTCGTTGAGTCTCATAGAATGATAAGACTAATAGAAATATATAGTTTTAAAGAAAATGGAAACTCGAATGTTTTGATAAAAAATTGGACACTAGAAAAGTATTCGTATCATTACTTTTTTATATAATACGTTATTATTTTTACTTCCTATGAATATTACAATTATATCATGTGCATAATATAATTTGTTAATATCGCTCGAGTTTGTTTTTTCTTCTTCCTATCTTTTTCTAACTATGATATACGTAGTCTTTCAGAATCATTAATGCATGTACATTTTTATAACTTGAAGAAAATAATAAATATATTTCGCATTATTATTTGATACAATACAAGAGAAGCGTCTGAAGATAAGTAACATGATTGAAGGACTAATGAAAATTGAATTAAATTTGATAATTTCGATTAAGTTCTTCATCTTTTGTTAATTTGTCTCGAATTTCATAGGAGAAATGAAAAGAAAAAATATTTTGTAATTTCAATTGAGACAAAGATTTTATGTTTCATTGGATTCTATCTGAATATTTTTATTCGACGAAAACAATGAAATATTTTTGTTTTTTCGATTTGATAAATTTGAGAATTGTTCAAAATTGAAATGAGAAAAGAAATGTTAAAAAGATTTTTCTCTAATAAATTAATAAACAGTGAAGTGGAGGCCGCTTTGTCAAAATCAAATCAATGAAAACAAAAAAAGACTTACAGAAGCAAAATGAACAAAGAAATTCAAATAAAATAAAAAGCAATAAAAGTTCCGAAATACTACAAAATTCAAATTTGATTGCTAATTTCAAAGATTTTTGATGAAATGGAAATTTTTTTATCTGATTTCTTTAGATAAATTTACAAAGTGATTTGTTTATGTATTTGAAAGAAATTAAAATAAATATTTCCCATAATTAAGAAAAAACTTTTATAGAATCGATAATTGAGTTTATGATTCGATTATACAAAATAAAATAAAACAGTTTTTTCTTCTACAATGAACTCATACTTTTGTTAAATATTTACATTTATTTATAGAGTTTATATATTTTATAGTTTAGAAACACATTGATTAGAAAATCGTAAATGTTAATTTCATATAGAAATCTTATAATTATAAGATAGGGTGTCGGTGCGAGTTTTGTACTAATTTCAACCTCACACCCACACCCATCCTTCTTTTATTATTAAATATCTATGTTATTGTTCTTTTATTCTTTGATAACTATGCCATTTCTTTATTGTTGAAGAGAAAATACTCTTCGATTTACTTTCGTTGAACAATACTATTTTACTAATGAATCAAATATCATTTTATTTGATGTGAGCCTTATTATTAAACGTATTTTTTGTGATCAAATCGTTTTTTAGAAAAGCACAAACCAGTAAATTAGATCTATGTAAAATTATGCGCCATCTGAAGATGATCCTTTAGCAAGATTGAAACTAGTCGCGATAGCTATATGTTCGTAGACATCTACAAATTTCACGATGACTTATGTTGATCTAAAAGTTATTAACACAAACGAATGTCATCGTATTACAAATCAATTTTCATTTTCGTTCCGATGGAATTTCTTCTTCTAATTTTATACACATATTTAGTAATTTGTTGTTGTAGTTTAAAACTTTTCAATACTATTTTCATATGTATGATATCGAAATTAGTTGAAGGTAACCAAAACTAGATGTTAGCATAATAGTGCATGTTGTTCCATGTGTTGTTATAGTAAGAATTATATTAATGAATCAATACATCAACATGGAGAGTGCTGATAATTATATTTCTTCACTTTTTTATTATTTTTCGTTATATAGTATAATTAGAATTATGTTGAAATCGACTATACATCATGTAACAAATGTTATTTGTATGTTCAATTCATTTCTGATAAGAATATATTCCGATGAATTCTTGTTGAGTTTCGTTTGTTTCATTTCATGATCAGTGTCATGTTACATGTTAAAAGATAACTTTTTAAATTGTTTTTTGTAATCCATCGAAGCTATTTTCAAAAGGTCTTCTTCTTCATCTTTGTTATAAATGAAATGTAATAGATACCTATTATAACGTGAAGAAAAGCCCAGATATACCAATTTCGGAGTTAAAATAAAAAGATAACGAAGGACTGTATATAACAACATGGTTACAATTTAGCTTTTCATTCACTTACCAAACAAAGACGACATATTAATACACAATCAAAGGTATGGAAACTATTTCATAAGAGTCAGAGGAGAAGTTTTAAAATATTGAAGATCTATAAAAAACGTAGAAGAATATTTTAACCATGTTTGATAGGAACATATAGATTTTATTTGAATTATGACTACCAATCAACCATCAAAGAAATTGCTGATAAAGTATTCCATAGACTTTGAGCTCTTTACTAAATTAAGATTCCATTCATAGTTAAATAAATCAGTCAAAGTGCAATCAAGTATCAATATCCTCCATAGGTCCAATCTTTGAGAAAATAAACGTTTGTGTTTAAGGGTAGATGTCGGTAGATGCCATTACGCGTATTTTTGCAAAAGTCATACCCACATTCAGTTTTAGAAGAAAACATATTTTTCTAATTAAAAACTTACTTGTCTAAAATCTCTTTCCGCACGAAATGGTGTGCCCCAAATGACTTCCGAATTCTAAGTGCACTTACAGTTACAGTTATTGGTACTCTTAATTTTGAGTGTGCAAAATGAAACATTCTAAAAGCGTATTTATAACTTCACAATGTTTTCTTCTCTAAGCTTTTCACAAATTCAGATGAGGCCAATTCCATTGCACAACTTTTATAATATAAATGCTGTTTTTTTAAGACGAATAAACTATCAATTTTTTCATCAGTGGTGCACTTCTAATATTTCTTCTTAATTGATTTCACCTTTTCAGAACCACAATCAACATAATCAGGAAACGAGTAACAACTACAGTATCATTACAGCCAACGCTTGGGAAGTTACCTAAAACTAATCATCAAAACATGGAATGTCAAAACCCTCTTATTTACAAGAATGGAGAAGAAGACATAGAGATGGCTGCAAAACGAGTGACTGTATATAAGGCATCATCAGGATACAGAGTAAGTGGTATTGTGTTTAGGGGTGCTGGCTTAGTACTGGCACTGCATTATCCTAATGCTAAGCTAGTACTTGTAGCTCTGTTTTATCTGAATTTTAGCCAGAAAAGTAAATATGTTATGTGCACGGGTGCGTCAGAAGAAGTAATGAAATGAAATAAATATTTTAGAAAGATTAAAAGGACGATTAATTCTATGTGTAGTAAATGTTGTTTTTGTAGAATTCTTTTTGTGAAACATGATCTGTAAGAGAGTATTAATTGAACAAATTAAATGGTTTGTTACGAGAACAATCAGCACTTTTTAGAGAATTCTAAATGAATAATTTTTTGTCTAATATTTAGTCTCAATCCGAGAATAAAAACAATATTAAACAATCTTCTCGTTCACAAACAGGATCGTAAGTATTTGATTTATTTATTCGAAATATATCTATGATTTTAGATCTTTATCTCGTCGGAAAGCAATATTGATCTTAATTATCATTGTTGTTCTTATCCTAATAACTATCATTAGTATTACAATATGGTTTATTTTCATTAGAAAGGCTGAAACAACAAAAAATGGTAAAGTTTTGTTATGAAAGAAAAAATAAGCTCTCAACTGAAATTCCAAATTTGTAGCTCACTTACGCATCCATATTTTACCCAGTGATATTTGAAATTATATGGTCGTCTAAAAAAAACTAATAATTAAATACAGGACAAATCTGTTACGGAACGGGAAGTGCTGTTTTCAAAACAAGATAATAGTATTCAGTACCCAGAAGTAACACTGTCAAAACAGAACAAAAATAGTTAGTGCTTGAAAGTATCATTTCCATAACAGAACCAGTGTTCTATTTTTGGGAATTTTGAGATGTGGGTATATTAGAGGAATCACCTACACCTACGCCCTCAAAATATTTTTCAAAAGAATTTATTTTTTATTTTCAAAATACAGAACTTAAAATGTTTCATATTCATTTTCAGTAGAATTTTTTCTCAAAATTCAACAAAAAATATCAAATAAGATTTATCTTTTCATTAAATATTTTCATAAACATTTCATTCAAAATTAATCTTCTCCTTTTTGTTCCATTAAAAACAAATTTTCTGCTTCTTCTCCTTTTCATCAAAATCTTTTGTTTTCATCATTTCCTAGAACCAAAACTCAACAAATGGGAACAAAATGCCATCACTGTGGCTGGTGGAAATGGTCAAGGACAAGAATTAAATCAACTCAATCGCCCTGACGGAATCTTTATTGATAAAAACAAAAATATTTTCATTACTGATTGTTGGAATCATCGTATAGTTGAATGGAAATATAATGCAAAGAAAGGACAAATCATTGCAGGTGGAAATGGCAGAGGAGATCGAATGGATCAGTTGAATTGGCCAACAGGTGTGATTGTTGGTCAACAAACTCATTCGATCATCATTGCTGATTCTGGAAACAGACGAGTGATTCGATGGATGAGTCAAAATCAACAAATTCTCATTCATAATATTACTTGTAATGGCTTGGCAATGGATAAAAATGGATTTCTTTATGTTTCTGATGGTGAGAAGAATGAAGTGAGACGATGGAAAATGGGAGAATATAACAACGAAGGAATTGTAGTGGCAGGTGGAAATGGAGAAGGAGATCAACTCAATCAACTTAGTTATCCTCGTTTTATCTTTGTCGATAAAGATCAATCTGTTTATGTATCAGAAAGCAACAATAATCGTGTGATGAAATGGAGAAAAGATGCAAAAGAAGGAATAGTTGTGGCTGGAGGAAATGATCAAGGAAGAAATTTCAATCAATTGTTTTTTCCTGAAGGAATAATTGTTGATGATTCGGGTCAAATTTATGTGGCAGATCAACGGAATAATCGAGTAATGCGTTGGTATGAAGGAAAAGAAAAAGGTGAAATTGTTGTTGGTGGTTATCGTGAAGAAAATCAATCAAATCAACTGAATGGTCCCTTTGATTTATCTTTTGATGATGAAGGAAATCAATTGAAACGTCCCATGGGTTTATCTTTTGATGATGAAGGAAATCTTTATGTTGCTGATGGTGCCAATCATCGAATTCAAAAATTCGAAATAATTTTGTAAATGAAGTTTTGATTTTGGAAAGAAAATTTTTTGTTCAACAAAAAGCGAGAAATAAAAACAAAATAAAAAGAATTTGAAGAAAAAGAAATATTTTGATAAAAGAACGAAGAAAAATCTTTTTGTTTTTTTTTCATGAAAATTGAATTAAATTTGATAATTTCGATTAAGAAATTCGAATAAATAAATGTTAAATTCTTCATCTTTTATTGAATTTCACAGGAGAAAAGAAAAGAAAATATTTTATAATTTCAATTGAAAAGAAGATTTTGTGTTTGAGAAAATTCTGTTTGAGTATTGTGATTCGATGAAAATAATGAAATGTTGTTTGTTTTTTTAGATCTGATAAAATTTAAGAATTGTTGAACATTGAAAAGAGAAAAGAAATGTTTTGTAAAAAATTAATAATAAAAACTGAATTGAAATGAATTGTGTTGAGGGAAAAAAATATTAAAGAGATATTTTTTTAAATAGAACTCACAAAGTGATTTGTTTTGTGTTTGAAAGAAATAAAAATAAATATTTAATTGAATAAATAATCAAATAAACAATTTAAAAGATTTTTTTGAAATATAAAAACTATTTATTATCAGATTAAAAATTAGTTAAACTTGACAAAGATTTAACGTTAATGTAAGTTTAGATGAAATTTATTTTATTTTATTTTATTTTTATTAAAAATGAGGTATAAATTTAATGATAATAAAACTTCCTAGATAGATGGATATTATTTGGAAATAAAAGATTATTAAATTGATTAATTACATAGAAAACACTAGAAAAGTTTCTTTATCGATTCTTCTAAGAGCCTCAGTTTGAGTTCAAATATTCTGTTATAATTATTAAACATATTTAGAAATGTGTACTTGTTGTAATCTATCATTTCTTTTATACTGGGTTCATCGGAGTTCGTAATATAGGAGGTGGGTGTGCTTATTCTATTCATTTCACACCCACACTCTCATATCTGTTGACTTTTTACAATATGATGTTCTTGAATCTTTCAGCGTAGAAGACAGAAAGACAACTTCTTTTTTATCGAAAGAAACAATAGATTTTCACTGATAAGAACAATCATGAATTCTATAGCAATTTACGAAATTCGTTTTGAAGAAAAGAAATGACATGTATAGCATAAAAGTATATTCTTTCTACACAATTACCATCTGAATTACATCAACAAGCAAAATCGACTGTATTATCATGATCAGCCTTGAGTCTTACAATAAATTAGTGGTAGCATTCTATTCAATATTTGCCGTGGCCCTCCAAATATTTACACTTGGTTGTTTTATGGCGTCATGTATCACTTGCTTTCGTCGTAAAACTATTTGGATAATAACACTGAGTTGTTTCTTCGATTCAGTTGTAACATCTATTGTAGCCTACATAACACGGTCTATGCCAATGAATTCTGACATTCTACCTCTTATCTGGGTGCTCATTTTAATAGTACTGTATGCTGCATATTGGCGTTTAAAACTTGCTATGGAATCATTTGATTCAGCAGAAAAATGGTATAGTCGGAAGAATATCTATTGGACTATTACTCTTGTAACATATCTTATACTCAACACTCCTTTAATCGTATCAGTTATCTACGTCATTGCAGCAATTATTTTATGGTTTTATAATGCTTTTATATGGCCTTTGAAAAGCATAACAGTTGGAGTACCTCAAAAGGTTTTAGTTAGCCATTTGAAAATCAATTTAACTTCTACTAATGTAACTAGTATAAGTTCTAAGACAACTAATGCTACTACAACAATAATATAGACGAGAATAAAAACAAGTTGACGATGTAAAGCATACTGTCTTTCTTTACTTAGGTATAACATTTAAGGGTGAGAGTGTGACTGTTGTAAATGATGCATATCCACATCCTCATCCATTTACTCGTTCTCTTGACAAGAATTGAAGGTACATTGCGCAAGTCATTTATCCTTTTTCTGTTTTTTTCTCAATAAAATACTTTTATGTATATGAATGAGCTTATTTCATTCAATACACAAAATTCTTTTATTGAGAAAAAAAAGCAGAAAAAGGATTTATGACTTTGCAATACATCATAAATTCTTGTTAAGATTGATGATGAAAAAGGTTTCTACAACGATAAATTACATCCAAAAACTTCAAACGAGCTTATCTTATGGTAATAAACGGATGACGAAGATTTATTATTCTCCATTCCCTTTTTTCCGCTTATAGAAGGGTAGAAATATATTTCAATTTTGAAAATAATTTTTTACACAAGTTAGTCAAGTTTTACTTAGATTAAACTGTGATTGACAAAAGTTAACAGGGCAATCTGCTACACATTGAGGGTGTGGGTGTGTGTCGGTGTTGATAATCCACTCATGCCCACCCTCACGCGTTGATCACAAGGCCGAAGAAGCTGTGCTGGCTGCTACGAGAAAATAAGTCAACAGCAATCAAGAGAAGCCGATCATGCGTCAGCAAAAAAAAAATAAAATTTTCTGTTCTGATTATGAGAAATTTGATTGTCTCGATTTTTTCGATGAGAAGCATTACACTTTGCAATAAATGATTAAATATTAACAGAACCAGAACATATGACAGCTTATGTGCGACCTTCTAATAAAGAAAAAAATGAAATAAAAACTGTTTTTCTATTGAATTTCTTGTTAACAAAGAAAGACTTTGTCTTTATCTATTTAAACAAGTATTTATATATTGCTAATTTTATGTTTGTCGTCAATTGAGACAAAAAAAAGTTGAGTACAGTGTGTACTAACACTTTACCTCGTGTTTATTTCACGGTAATTATACGTAGAAGAACGAAAAAAATTTTGATTAGGCTTCACTACTGCTTTTTCTTCAATCAGAATAAGACGCAAAAAAAGCTTTGCTTCTTATTTCACAACCATGATCATTAATCGATGAAAAAGTCATTCTGGAGAGTAGGAGTTTTTTGTTCACCCTCACCTAAGATAGATCTATGCAACTATGTACAGCCCTCGCAAAAAATTCTGGCACAAATAAAAATAATCACCCAAAATCTTATATTTCATCTGAATTAAACTTTATATATATGGTGAGTATAGTTACTGAGTAAGCTTTCATATGATACCATATTGA